GGAGGAGGCAGAGACACAGTCACAGAGAAAGAACCATTCCTTGTTCCACGAGATGTTATCGTGTTTCAGTAGGCCTACCAGGACTGAACTGTAATGTTCAAAATAACCCAAGTCATGGGGTGCTCGGGACATACGGTGAAGAAGAACCCGCCCCAGCAAAATAAAAAAAACACTCAAAAACAAAAACAACGGAAGGCGAAGACGTGATAGGAAGGGTCTGGCGCAAAGCTGACCTGCTGTGACGCGTTGTTTGTGTAGAGGGAGGCGTTCTTTCTCCCTAGTATGTGGATCTGTTGTCGCTGTGCTGCTTTCTGGTCCGTCAGCACTTGTCTGTCTTTCTCGATCGTGAGAATGTAACTGGTCAGATGGTCGTGATCCATTGCGTACTCTCGCATCTGTTCACAGACAGACATTCCGGGTGAAAGTATAACAGTCTGAATATAAGTAAATTTAAGCTTCTTTCCTGCATGATGTCACGGCCATCCACATGCCACTCCACAGATCTCGGATATATGCGTAGTAAGTCAAGTAAGTTTTGACTGGAAGGTTGAAATGAACTGTTACCGGCTGGCCGTTCGGTTGAGTATTTATTTTAGCTTTCAAAAGCAACTGTAGAACACCCCCCCCCCTCCCCGGGAGGATATATGAAAAATTAGGTATATTTCAGTTACCAGTGCGAAATACAACATGATACATGGTGTATTAATACTTTAGAAAAGGAGTACCAGATAGTCGTAGAACGCTGCAGTAAAGTGCTTTTTCAGCTACAATGTAGTTTGAACATAGTCTTGATCTAGCATGACTGTGGTCGATCACTTGCCAGGTAAAAAAAGGAGTGTAGAAGTAGTTATCCTCAGGGTAAGGCGTTTGCTTCTCATGCTGAGAAAACGGATCGACACGACCCCGGTAGCGGCAAAAAAAAATCTTGGATACCTCAAAAGTGGACATGTGGGGGCTCTCGTGGTCTAGAGGTTAAGGTGTTCACCTCTCCTTCAAAGGTCCCAGGTTCGAATCCGGTTAGCGACCGAAAAAAAATCGATAAAAGTAGGCTTCAGTCGCCACCCGGGCAAAATTCTAAATTTCCTCCCCACTGAAAATGTTTGGTGTGTCCCGCGCGCCCATATGACCTTATGCAGTTGTGAGTGTAAAACCCTTATCATTACCAGAAAAAGTGGCATGTGCTTTAACTTTAATCTAAGGACGCCCTGACCGTTAAAAGTCAAATAGGGAAAGACGAACGTGCATAAATCGGCTGCCCTGAAAATTCTAAATTAAAATCACTACCAGTTGCAAAATCGGAAAAGGCTTCGGTACAATATAATCAAATGTGGGCACCTTCGAAAAACTACGTGCGGCTGGGGGGCGTTGTTCTTCTCGTAAAATAGGCATCTTTTACATACATGTATTTGGCAACTTGGAAACACATGTGTCACTTTGCCCATAAAACTACGACAGCTACAGAGTTGAAAGTTGGCAAGTACCTGCAAAAAGATAGAAAGTTCCCCTTGACGGAGCCCGATTTTTTATTTATTCTTTTCTTGAATTTAGAAAAAAAGTTTCCGTCCTTCTTTGGTCTTTGCGATTATTCCACTGAGATACGAAACAAATCTGCGTAGCTGCCCGTCACAGCGGAAGTGCAGGAAATGATAGTTCGTGAGGCACATTTTGTTTTGAGTGTATAGATCTAGACCTTCTAATTTTTTGCATCTCTCAAGATTTATCGTTCCATTCCAGTAGAGTTTATAGTAAACCAATAACTTTCAGTTGATATTAATGCACCGATCATTCCTTTCATGGAAAGGGGACCCGCTCATAACATGTATTATAATAATGTGTGAATTCTCTTGCTCTGTGGGTAGCGATCGAAGAAGAAGGAGGAGGGAGAGGTGGGGGAGAAGAAGAAGAAGAAGAAGAAGAAGAAGAAAGAAGAAGAAGAAGAAGAAGAAG